CCGAAGCGTACTAGAAAAAACACTCTGAATATTGAGATCAATTCATCTGCCGCGACCGTTCCCCAGAGAATTCATCTCCCAGCATCAGGACCAGCATCACGACCACGAGTGGTCGACCGCAAAAATCATCCAGACGTCACAGCAGTCACCGAAAGAGGACGTTTCGGAGGAAATCCCTGAAAAGAGAGAGAGGGAGCCAGGGAGAGAAAATACGTATACGTACGCGTATCATCGCGTATGACACATTTCACATGTACGAGCAAGTAGCTGATCGGAACTGAGTGTCGGACGATTGCACCTCTGCCTACCTTTCATAATTGGCTCGCTATTTCGTTTATAATTCAAAAACTGAGCTACGCATAGAATTTTGGCAAAGGAAAAATTGTCTTAGAATTGTGTCAGGAATACGTCATTTTAAGGGCTAAAGTTTGTTCTGGGATACTCTGTATATTGCTGTTTTAAATAATTTTTTGTGTGAATACGAAGTAGTTTTGTTGCTTGCAATCAACATTAATCTGAGATAAAGAAATTCATTTACATTTAACATTCACATACCAAAAAAGTATTGCGTTACAGTTGTGTTGCTGTGTTCGTTTTCACTGAAATCTCAATTTTGTTGGTTTAAATAGTGATTTATTTATAATAGTATCAAATTATTTTGTTATCGTACACATATTTAATTGTTATTTAATTAACGTCAATCACATATTTAATTGTTATTTAATTAATGTTAATCATTTCTCACAATCAAATTAATTCAAGAATAAAAGGTTATTGTAAGTAATCGAAAAAATTAGATTAGCTCGCGAATGGGCGTAGTTGCCCTAACGAAACCTGAGCGTTGCGCGCTTTACATTAAGCGCTCTTCGCTTCCTTTCTTCCGGCCTGGCGCGCACTGTACAGAGTTTGTCAAATCTCCTTTTCTTTCCTTTTTTTTCTTAGCGTGATTCGCACCACGTTAATGCTTGTTTCGCGCTTCTCTACCAAGGACTGCGCGTTTGAAGTAGAGCTCTGGCCGATTCTTCTGAAAAGGACTGTTGCGCGCCTCCTTAGCGTGCTCCGGCTTTTCCTTCATCCCGACTCCCGTATGTACCCTGAAGTAGTAGATGTAGGGTCGTTAGTCGCTTTTCTTATGAAGATATTTAATTAGGTCATGTGCTATTAAATGGGCATATTAAGGCGAGACGGTTGGAGAGAGCAACTCCGGAGGACAGCGAAGGTGTTCTATCAACACGAGGAATTTAACCCCTCTGTGTTCAGATCTCCGAACTCACGGGAGCTCCCCAACAATCTTTCGTGTCCTCCGCCTTTGCTGCCAAGGCCATCACCTCCCCTCAAGCCCCTAAAGTGCGGGAAGTGACCAAGCTCCCCCTGACACATCGAAATCGCCCATGTGCATCCCCAGGCTGACTAAGGTCTCAGTTAAGCTCGCGTGATAAGACTCGAATCTTGTTCGAAAATAAAAATTCTTAAATAAAGACAACACTTCTCCGGTTGTCATTATTTATTTACTTTCTCTGGCCTTCCCGAATCGACTCTGCGTGATGACAACGCTCGCCGTAGCGAGAACGATGTCATTGTTCACGCGGCACTATTGAAACGCGCAGACAGAATCCCAAAAGAGCCATGGATACCATTCTATTTTCCGCTCGCGAAGTTCAGGCTCGTTGACATCCCCCCTCGACAGATGGAAATATAATAAAAATAAAATAAAATATATAAAAAAAGGAAAAAAGGCAGACTCCCTCCGAGTCCGGACATGACAATTTTGCCTACTAAATCGGTTTCAAAATCAAACTTCAAAATAAAATTTCGATCTTAACCTCTGCAGTAAAAACACATCGTAATGTATTCTGTTCGGATTGTTTCTCACGGATTGTCGTCCCATTTATCTGTCTGCGTTAAATATTGCATAAAGTATTCAATACATGAGCACATATTCATAATTTATCTAGGACCTTTACATCTGTAAGTTTGTAATTTCATTTAAATTATTTGTATTTTATCATATGCATTGGTTGTTTTTGACACAAATTCAGTTTTTATACTTGGTTTTTCGCAATTTCAATTTTTTAATAATAAAATATTTTACTTTTGGACTCTGCTTTTCTCGCCATCCAATGACGAAATAATAAAACACACTTGACAATAAGATGACGTTAAAGATTTAGTAATTTTATGTGATTTTATTTGTAATGTTAAATTTATAGTATTCAACCTATGATATGATATATTCACTTCATTAATATATTCACAGGTTTATCTTTCTTTTTATCTAGTTTTTAATTATTTTTCATATATTGACTGAAATGACTTATTGTTAATCAAATCGAAACGTTTCCGATTAATTTATAGATAAAAAAAACTAGTTTAATTCTTAATGTAATAAATTAGTTTATTTTTAAAGATCCAATAAACGTTGCTCGTATCTTTTGACTTTTCTAATTACTATTTTTTGCTTAGCAATCTTAAGTTAGATATTTTACATATTTTAATCTATGTTCTATATTCTATCTTCTATATATTGTATAATCATTAGTTATGAACAAAAATAAATAATAGTAAATCTTTGATGAATATGCTATGAAGAAGAAAAATACAAAAAATTATGTAAGACCGTCAAATTTTTTCTTCTCCTTTTTTCTTTGATTATTCGTTCGAATTAAATTTTTAACTTGTAACTTTTCAATTATTCTTTTTATTAATTTAACTTCTAATTTAATTAATTTTATTATAGATTAATTTATATCTTATTATAGATTAATTTATATTTGTATCTTAAATAAGTTAAATTTTCATGACAGTTAATTTTAATTTAATTTACTATAAAAAAAATATCTTAAATAAGAAATATTAAATAATATTTTGTGTACATTTTGGCCTTTTGAAAATTAAGCATCAACATGACATATTTAAACAAATTTCAATATTCTTGCTAATTTTTCAAGGTGTTTCACAAATACCACGAACATTTTAATAATTTTATCATATTTAAAAGGCCAAAATGAACACAAAATATTATTATCGTATATTTATACCATATATCATTACAAATCTTATTCAAGATTGGGTAAGATATTTTTTTTATACTAAATTAAATTAAAATTAACTGTCATGAAAATCAATGTAATTTCTTATCCTGAACTTTTTGTTAACATTATTGTATTTAAAAAATCAAAACTTATAAAAAACGCTATTTCTTTTACTTACACCTTTGTGAGCAAAAATTGACCTCTTTTTAACATCCTTCTTTCCACTCTTCTTTCAATTCTTTACTGTGTCTTTATGTTTGAATGATTGATGGTCGACGATCGTTATCTTTTACATTTTTATAGTTATATATTTTCTAGTCGTGTCACTAGTTTGCATAAAATTATCAATGTTAATTAATTGCAACTTGGCAACGTTTGAAGAATAATGAAATACGTTGGAGGTATTAGTTTTTTTATTTGTAATTTTAATAACTTTTTTATTCTCAGCTCTTAAGACAACTTCGTTCTATTTTAGGAAATAGATATAATAACTATGGTTGATTGAGATTTTCGATGATGTAATTGCGATTGGCTATTTGCTTTCCTTAAAAAAACATATTATTATTTGAGAACAACTATATCGTCTAATAATTAGCGCATTATGCAATTGCATTGAATTAATTCAATAAAAAAATTTCTGTTTATCGGAGGAATGTCTGTACACTTTATCTTTATTACTAATTTTATATTCTTAACACGAAATTTGTTAAATTTTTCTGAACGTACAACATACTAATAATTGAATAATTTAATTGTCCCGTTACGCATCTTATCATTCTGAATTATTCTTATATACTTTGAAAATGACCTAATGATAGATTGAAATGTTTGTATATATATGATCCACAAGAGAGTTTAAAACTTTCACAGTTAACAACTAGCATTGATTCGTAACCCTTCTTCTTTTATTTTTAGTTGTTTTATTCAACTAAGCTTGTATTATTGTATTTCATTTTGTTAAGTAAAATGCATTGTAATTATGAAATAATTGTCAGCTATGATTTTTAAGAAAATTAATTTATTAGCCGTAAGAGAATTATTGATATCTATTACACAATACAACACACATTCCCTCCCGTGAAAAAATCAAAGAGATTCTAGTAGAAAGTAGATGTAAAAAAGAATACCGTGTCTTGGCGGTTTAACAGATCATGTCGTTCACGTTTTTTATGCAGCTATTTATCATATTTGCTTTATATTGGCTTTTTACAATTGTTTTAAATTATATAATAATTTTTTAAAATAAATAATTGACATTTTTGCATGTGAAATTATGTGATGAGTCTGAATACAAAAAAAAACGACTGAGAATCTTTTTTCATATATTTTCAAATTTTTATATAATAATACAATTATAATTATTATAAGAATCTTGGTCGTTTTGATTTGTCGTTTGTACGATTCTGGTATTATATCACGAACAATAGACCAACAGTATTCACCAAGCATATATGTTTTTTTCTTTGAAGCGTTTCTCAATGATCGCAATGTCTTAGTGAAAGCGTTCATCATGTTCATCACTGAATTCATCCAAATTTGGTGGAAAAAATCAAAATGATTATAAGGAAAGTGTATTTTGAGCGATGGTAACTTTCATTGCATGAAAATCCGAAATCATTTCAGCAACAATTTTGTTGTAATTGTCAGCTTTTTTATTGCCCAGAAAATTTTCGATGACGGTCAAACCATTCCATACTCGTTTTTTCACAATTTTTCATACTCGTATTCAACAATTTACGGAAATTTTCATTTTTTATCAATTTTGATATATCTAGATCATTAAATACACCTGAATAAGACTTAATAGACTAATAAGAATTTAAAATAATCAAATAAATAAAACGATAAAAATCAATGTTGTCAATTTACTTGCTTCGATTTTTACTACAGACAATTTTGGAAATATTGTGTGCAATAACTGAAAAACTTTGCCAGAAGAATCAAGTGCTCGAACAAAATTATGAATGAGACCGAGTTTGTGAAGCGACGGCAAAATTATTTTCCTTGGATTAACCAATGGTTAACGTGATCGATAATGTCGAAGTAAGTCAATACGGGTATGCTTTTCTAATATTCTACTTTCAGAATTTTTTTGAATTTTTCATGGGAGGAAATCTATGCAGTATTATAAAAAGACATTTAATGATACTTAAAAAATTAACGACTTGATCTGGTAAAACGTCAAAACGAGGGTATTTTTTTTTACATTTACTTTGAGAATCTCTTTGATTTTTTTCATGGGAGAAAAAAAATCGATTTTTGTTGTACTGTGTTATGGAATATAATTTTGACATGTGACATCATGCTAAAATTGTAATTACAGGTATTTGAACAATATCAAAACAATGTCAGCGATAGTACAGGACGAATTAGTGAAACCTATTGACAGGGCGGCGTGGCATGTGGAACACGTATTGAAATTTCCAAACTCGAGACATTTACGATATCATGGACATGATATGTCATGGATACATTATTATGCTACATATCTGTGCTTAGGTACAGGTTTCATTTTGTTATTATACATCTATTACATATTGTATGACAAAATTGTTAGCCCTTTTGTAAAAATGACATGTTTTAGTAACTTAAAACAATGGATAAATAACTTGAAACGAAAACTCGATTAAATATAAATGTACGAAGCAATGAAAGAAAATTGATCATATGCAATTAAGAGAAAATTTCTTTATATTACTTTTATAATTTGTGTATGTTTATAACAAATAAATGAATAATATATTGTTGGCAGAGAGATGTATCTTTTATTTATACTTTTCTAGAAAATAAAATGGCTATGTTTTCACAGTGCGCTTAGTTTGCGACCTATAACATAGATGTCTTTGTTTAATCTAGGTTAAGCACAGTGCAAACACATTCAATGTCTAAAATGCAGATTTAAAACGTCCTCAAGACATCATCAAGATGTTTTTTAGATATCATAAAGATGTCCTCAAGACATTTACTTAAGATACAAGTTTGTAGAGAATTGGTTTATTTAAAAGTTGCGCTTATTTTAGATAGCGTCTGCTTTTTTTAGTTACGTAAGGCTCCGCAGAGAAGAAAGGGCATTGCATTGGAGAGTTTTGTGTGAAAAAATTAAGTTAAGTCTTAAAGCAGACATGTTGAATGTATTAGAGACAACACAATAAAGTTTTCTTTTAGTAAAATCGAGAAGCAATTATTATATTAAACAACGTTTGTAAAAACCGTTTTATGTCACCTGTTTTTACATGCATGCAGTCTGGGTGTGTATAATTATTACATTTGTTTAATTACACTTTTTAGATATTTTAAAATAATTTTTCAAACATTTGAAAAATTTTAAAGAATATTTTTTAAATTTAGGTATTCAGTGTATTACAACATTATATAAAAAATTAATAGGAGGAAAAATATTATAGTATTTTATTTAAAAAAGAAGTCTGTTTTTTTACTCCTAACCAATTTTTATTAAATAATTTTTAGCCTCAGTAGTCTAAAGGTTTAGAATTTTCGTACGAAAAACAAGAGAACCAGGTTCGACTCTCGACTGAGGTAATATTTCGTAATAAATTTATTTACAATTTTTCAGTATATTAACATTTTTCTTTGATTGAGCATCAAAATATTAAAAATTGCCTTTTAATTTGATTTAATTTTTGATATTATAATATTGATATTATTAATATAATAGTAGTCTAATTGTTTGAGATCGGTAATGCGAAAAAAAGTAAGAACTCTTTCGATCGACCGACAGTAATTGTTATTGAACGCACGCATAAGGTGAACTCGTGATTTCATCTCGAGCCTGACCGTAAGCCTCGTCAAAGTCAGGGATTCGTCGTTCTTTGTTCTTTTTAAAACAATTCGGTACACGCAAACAGGCACCGGTAACGGACACTCGAAAGTTCTAGAACAATTCAATTCGCGCATGCGAGCGCCGCGCTCCGACGGATACGTCACGCGCTGTCACCAATCCCACGTACGGATTTTCTGTCGCGCATGACTGTTACGTTGAACGTCGTTAGAAAAGAATCCAAAGCGCCAATCAATTTTGTACACCTAATGCCACGTAATAATTACGATTGTGACAAAATTTTATTGGATTTTTCCCAAGAAGAAAGCCCAGGCCGAAAGCAATAAATGCTTCGATCTCGCCGTCCTCTTTCTTAGAGTCCTTAGTTCTTAAAAAAGTTCTTAGAGTTCTTAGAGTCATAGTCTCGCTACTATATCGCTTCGTAAAACCGCCGTGCTACCGCTTAGTGAAAACCGCTATAAAACGAATCTTTTCGAGAAGTGCCGAGAAAATCGCCGAGATTTTCCATCACCGCGATTCCAAATACAATTTGGAAAAGGTGACCGCATTTAATATTCTGTTAATCTAATATTTAATTAATTATATTTTCTGATTTTGTAACTGAGCATATTAAAGAAAATTCTTTTGTTAAATTACAAAGAAACGGAGTTCTCTTCACTGTCGTGTATCATATTAACCTTGTGCCGTCTTCTCACTCGAATCTTTCCGCGCGGTGCACTCCCGCACACTAATTGTGTTTATAAGTCAGGAGAACCAATTCGGCGCGTAGTTCGAATGACTACAAATATGGTATATATATTGCAACCGCACTCACGAGCGTGGCGCAACTTCGTTGCACATTCACAGCTTTTCGTGGACGATCGGATGACGGGTAGCGTTAAACGAAACGTGGCAGAAATGCGTCTTCATGCGGCCGCTCTTAAGGGGGACACATAATCACAAAACAATAGTTGGGCGCCAGGCACGAGCGAGCGTGCCACTCTTTCTAGAAATTACGCGATATTCTCTTTATGCCATTTTTAATGAGCTGCGAATGTCGACGGGCTCTCAACCAGTAGCTCAGCCTCGGAAATGGCAGAGGGGACGATTCGCGGTCGAGGAGATAGCAGATCGTTTGGAGGAGCGAATAGGGGCTAGAATAAAGTACACACGAATTAACAATAACAAAAGTAACAAATATATTAAATGAGTCTTCGACTTACACTTACATCTGGCGATACAATCGAGACGAGCTCTACTTGAGCGCGATAACTGATTTACATAGGCCCCGAGGTTTTGCGCTAGGCGTATCAACTTCGTTAAATTCCCGCGACACGAGCTCACGCCACACCGGAATACTCTCGCGAATTATACGAACCATACTTCATCGCCTCGCAAATACTAAGGAATTCGGCGAACGGTTGTAGCGTGGACACGGCGTGACCTAGTGCGCGCTCGCGGGGTCTCGCGCCGTTCAGCTGAGATGCAGAGAAGGCTCGAATACGTGCAAACTCGACGCTACGCAGTCTCGATACGACAGAATACGCACAATTATCAATTGCTATTATAAATTGTCGTTAATGGCTATGACACAGAGGACCGAATAAATATGCAAATCTTACGCTACAGACGTTCGAGACGACACGGTACGCGACAATACTACGGCACGGAATTTCGACGCAACATATGATCCGAGGTAAAAAGAAACCGACGAGGCGACAAGTGACGAGGCTGTAGCCTTGGGATGCATTAGAATTATCCCGACGATAAGGGCCGTTCCGCGAGGCGACATGCGTACTCGAATCCCGCGAAACTCTGATGCACGGTAATGCCACGTGCACTCACTATTATACGCCCGATAGAAATCCGATAAAGCTACGCCTCCCGAACGCGGAAACCGGCGACTAAACAGGGGTGACGCTCGTCTCACCCCTGTTGTGACTCCCTCGCAGGTGCTCGTCCTAGTCGACCTTGGAAGGTTCTCGAGTCGTTGACGTCCTGCGTCCTCTCGCGTGCTCTGGCCAAGCGGGCCACAGCTCAAGTGCCGAGCGCTAATCCTCCCAGGCGCACGCAGAGCTCGTTATTCCCGCGAGGGGGCCTGATTGCCGCGTGGCTCCGCGGCTCCGCTAATCGCGGGAACCGCGTCATACCCGTGTCGCATATCCTGGCGCGTGAAATTCGAGAGATTGCGGGAGTCTTTTTCGGGCCGCTTCGTGGCCTCAAGGTGCCTATCCGGGGCTCTCGCCATCCTTGGGGCATAGAGTGGCCCCTTCTCCGTCATGTTGTACCAATTCTTGGTCCGCTTTGCGCCTGGAAGAGGGTGCGATAAGAAATTCTTTGCGATAACCAAAAGGGCGTAATAATGAAAGAAGGATATCACCTGCGTGCAACCCGGGTTCAGGTGTCGCCCCCGGCGAGTCCATCTGCAGAGATCGTCTCCTGATTCCCAATCCTGGTCGTTCTTCCTCCTCTTCTCTCCAGTGAGGTGACGTCATTCTGCCAAGGTCGCGGGAGTCGCCGGCTTCTGTAACCCTCGATACGGGAATACACAGAAACGGGAAAACGAAAACGACAGCACGGAACGCGTAAGGTACGCAAACGACGTCGCGGGAAAAGCGCAGCTGCGTCCGTTTGGGGGCGGACGCACCTGCGCTTTTCCCGCGTCGTCATTTGCGTTCCTTACGCGTTTCGCGCTGTCGTTTTCGTTTTCCCGTTTCTGTGTATTCCCGTACCGAGGGTTACAGAGGCCGGCGACTCCCGCGACCTTGGCGGAGTGACGCAACCTCACCGGGGAGAAGAGGAGGAAGCACGACAAGAATTGAGAGTCCAGAGACGACCATTGAGAACAGACCCGCCGGGGGGCATGATACCTGGCCCCGGGTCGCACGCAGGTGGTATCCTTCCCGCATCGTTACGCTTTTTTTTTATTGTCGCAAAGCATCTTTTATCGCACCCTCTTCCAGGCGCAAAGCGGATCGAGAGTCGGCACGACATGACGGGGAAGGCCACTCTGCGCTACAAGGACGACGAGAGCCCCGGATAAACGCCTCGTGGCCACGAGGTGGCCTGAGAAAGATTACCGTGATCTCTCGAATTTCGCGCGCCAGGACATGCGATGGACATGACGCGGTTTCCGCGATTAGCGGAGGCATAGTTATCGAATCTATATCGGATATATAAGAGTGAGTGCACGTGGTCTCATCGTGTATTAGAGTTTCGCGGGATCAGAGTACGCGTATCGCCTCCCGGAACGGCCCTTGTCGTCGGAATAATTCTAGGGCGTCCGTCAAGGCCACAGCCTCGTCATTTGTTATCGGTTTTTCCGTTTATCGCGGATCGTATGTTGCGTCGAAGTCCCGTGCCGTAGTATTGTCGCGTATCGTCTCTAGACGTAAGATCTAGGCGTAAGATTTGCCTGTTTATTCGGTTCTTTATGTCATAGTCCTTAAGGTCGATTGATAATCGCAATTGATGAGTGTGCGTATTCTGTCGTATCGAGATTGTGTATTGCCGAGCTTGCACGTATTCAAGCCTTCCCCTGCGTCGTGTCTGAGCAGCGCGAGGTTCCGCGAGCGCGTACGAGGTCACGCCGTGTCCACGCTACAAGCTGCCGAATTCCTTAACATTTGCGAGGCGATAAAGTTTAATTCGCGAGAGTATTTCCGTGTGGCGTGAGCTCGTGTCACGAGAATGTAACGAAATTGATAACGCCTAGTGTAAAACCTCGGGCTTATGTAAATCAGTTGTTGCGCTCATGTAGAATTTATCGTCTCGGTTGTATCGCTAAATGTAAATGTGAGTCGAAGACTCATTTAATATATTTGTTACTTTTGTTACTGTTAAATTCGTGTGTGCTTTA